ATGTTGAGTGGATACTGGGCACTCCTCGTGCGGCGTAAAGACACATGGCGTACAAGTGTTCGGTACGTATCGGTAACTCAGCCGATACAACTGATAAACCAGTAGCAGATTGTAATATTTGGAACCAGTTTCATAGGCATCCATCCATGATATGTTGTAGTACATCACTCGAGCTCATTCACTTGTTCCATGGTCAGATGTTGTAGAGTCGAGGTCATATCGCTTCGGAGGTCGTGTGTTCGACTCCCAACACCAACACTGTCTAACCCTAGCATTTCCCTGCATCCCATGACACCGCTCTGATCGGTCACTTCCACTTTTTTTGAAAATTCACTGTACGACTACGTATTCATTAACAAGAAGTAGAAAATTAATGGAAAATGCAAAATACCGAACGGGGTGTGGAGGACACACGATGCAGAAAATCCAATGAAACGCGTGAAAACCCGTGATATTAAACTCAACCGTATAGCCCATTCAGAGTAAACGAAGAAATGATTGCAACCCGCACCAAAATAGCCAGTCAACCAGCTGTGTTGTCCCCTTTATTGTTTCCATCAAAAATTTTCGTGGGAATAACTCTTTGTATATGGTGACCAGATGAAAATTACCAGTTTATCAGAACGATAATTAGACTCAAAGTTTAGCACGCACCGCCATTGCACCTCTCGTGAAGCATGAGTGCAAATATTTTGCAGATTACAGGGAAGAAAATATCAAGTTGGAAAGGGATCGAACGTTCCTCTTGAAAGAAATGGTCCCGTTCGATGCAGAGCGACTGATTGTGAAGAGGTGAAAACCTGAGGCAATTGTTGTCGGACCGGAATACACCACTTACGGATAGAAATACTGTGACTGATCATGATTGACCACTGAAGCTCAAAGCAGAATACTGGATCAATATGGTCGATACATATTACTACCGCCCCCATAGCAAGCAAGAGGAAGAGAGAGCGATAATTTAACCAAAACACGAGGGTATCTTCCTAGTGCACACAAGGAAAATCCAAACTCCCGGAAAAATTCTGCCGAGACGAGACTGACTTTGTCATGAAAATGGGTGGATGCAATCTGTCATATGTATACCGAACCAACCAGCACCAAAATTTTCTCTTGATTCGATCCTATCTTTTGTAATTCGATTGAATGGTCTGTAGGATGTATTCGAGCGAATATGTATGGACAGCAATGCACAGGAGCACATGGCAAACAGTTGGACAAGCAAAAGAATGCACATCAACTTTTACCAAACCAGTTAAAAACATCTTCACAAATGGAAAATTTCAATATCACCTGTGAATCAGAAATGCCAGCAGTGTTCAGCAAAGAAAAGTGTATCAGTTACGCGACACAGTGGAGCATGCCAGCTGCGCATCAGAAAACAGAAAATTTGGAAGAGAGAAGACGTGTATTTGCGACGAAAGGGGAGGTTCAAAGTAGTTTGGGGAAAATAAGTTTTACTACTAGCTACACACGACGCAGGTAAAACAGAGCATGAAACCGAATGCAACAAGGCGAGCAAAACGTATCCATCATTAAACTGCCACTTCTTTGGAAAGTTCAATGTAAAGTTCAATATCACTGACGACCAAAATCCATTTATAGTGAACTGAGTGGTAGTTGAACAAGGGTGAATGATATTGGACAAACAAATCAATGAGATGGTTAAAAGAGTACGAGACCAGTTAAATAAAAAACCGTGAGTTGTGCAAACATTTTGTGTTCAAATATGGAAAAATGATCAGGTAAACTAATGAACTTAAATCCGTTGGATATGACCAACAGAATTTTTGTCTTCTTATCGAAAACAAGAGATTTCTGGGAATTAGGAGGCTGGCCAATAAGCGATAATCAAGTGATCCAGGTCTTCCAGATTTGGGCACGACAGTGCACTTTACGGAGCAAGTTCTTTTTTCTTTTTCTTTGCGATGTTCTCCCAGTCAGTTTCCTGGATGAAACCGGGAAGAACCTTGGAAACGCGGTACAAAGCTGCATCATCAATACCACTTGATCTTCTTCGATAATCCACCTACAGCTGGTGAACCACAATAACTGAGACGGTCTTATTTGATGGTGGACCAGATTGGTACACTCCTCCATGAGGCTTCCGTCTCAGTTGGCCACTCTATACGGTGGTGCTGCCGCTCTTCTAAGAGTGCAGCAAAAAATTGTCACAAACAACAGAAGCTGATAGTGAGTTGGCGGTTATTTTTCAACCGAATTCACCAAATAAAGTAGTACTCGTCAGAGTTGTTCTTACACTGGTCCACTCTGCAATTTCGTACTGAACATAACTCTTGAAATTGTCCTATTCCCGGTGGAAGAAACCAGCATGTGACGCAGAATTATGACCGGCACGATAAATTTGCACATACTTATATAGACGGAAAAAGCAATAAAACATGTCAGTAGTTAGCTCGATTAGGTAGGCCTAAAAATCTTAGATCTCAGAAGGCAACAAAGATGAAGCATACCTCTATGAGTTGATGTTCGGGAGCGGAGATAGCACGCATGTGCTCGTCAATGACCAGTTTGGAGAAACGATCGTGCTCGGAAAACCACCGGGTCTCTTCCTCCGTGTCACCGCGCAAATTTGCGACTCCTTTGAGCAACGCACTGGCCCATAACTGGATACCAATGTCAGGTAATCGATTAGCCACGTGGATTGCCGCACTGGTCATTTTATGTCCTTCCTGTTCAGACAAAGTAAACAGGATAACAATATAAGCAACCAGTTATGCTGTACTATTAGGGACTATCGGTATGATCCAATGAGTAGACATATTGAAAACGAACTGGCATAGTAATGACGGCGCAAGCAAGCAATGCTAAATGGGGGAAGTGCATCCAGATCCAAATAAGTTTTCCATCGTACACAATTACTCGGAAAATCATCACATTCTTCAAACCTCTTCAAGGCAATGCATTACATATTTCAGAAACAGTTTTAACTGTATAAGGGTGACATTTTTGAAAGAGACGAACAGCTGTAAAGAGCATGTGTATAACGAAACACAGTAGTATATCCATGTCGGTAGAAGCAAATAAAAATGATCCATACGGAAATACCACCAATGTGTGACGATTATACTTTCCGCAATCACCAGAGGCAGTTTCCGCGTGAAGTAACTGTCTTTCGAACAAACATGAGATCTCACAATGAATGGGTAATGGTAATAATAAAACCGGTTGTTTTTCCACAGCCAATGGATCTCAGCGGTCACGTTGTCAGGCTCCCAGCAGCAGCAGCACCAGCACCACCAGCACCACCATCATCATCATCATCATCATCATCACCGCAACCGGATAAACAGGTTTTAACTGAAGCCGATCCCTCGGTAAATTGCTTTCCATCCACTAAGTGGGTAACGACAATATCCGATTTAGATAACAAGTCAAAATAAAGGAAAACAAAAAGTATCCTCCATCGAATTGATAGGGACGAAGGCTTTCGAACCTTACGGAATGTGCCCTGAAGTTGTGAATCGATTTGGGAAAATTAAGCAATGTTAAAAAAAGAAAAATCCATTCTTTTCCATGCTTTGGATACAATAATCAATGCTACAAAAATAGTTCTACATGGGGTCTGTCCGCTGTACAGTAACCATCACCTGGGACATTTCGGCCCAAAGATAAAAGACAGGAGTATCTGGGGTAAATGGGAAGGAGCACTAGGATCCGGGGCCATTTATCAGTGATGACCTCATTTCGGCATAGAGGTATCTACACAACTCGACAAAACTCGGTTCGCGTATAATCGTAAACGTTAAACACACACACACACGTTGACATTACGGTGGATATCCGTCAATTTCTGTCGTGCTGCACAATCAACACATTCTCACTGAGTCACAATTCCGCGTACGTCATGTCCACAGCCAGTAAGGGTTTATCTATCTATCTCATAAACATGCGAACCGCAGGTCGAACAGTTCCAGGGACAGCAGCGAATTGAATTGTAGTCTGTGTGCACATCCGATAACAGAAATGCGAAACAAGCAATGATGGAAGCGAGTTGACAAGGAAATTGAACCCCTGAGGACAAACCTGACAGACTGGTAAGCAGTGAGTGTTGCGGATGACGCATGAGGAGTGGGATAATAATGATCTCCGTGTTTCCAGCGGGTGAGATAGACTGGTTGGGTATGGAGCTTAAGACCCAGAAAACCGAAAACTAGAAACTGCTCTCTGTCGCCGAACTACATAATGTCGATTAACAAACTAGGCAGTGGCAAAGTGAGGACCGGGAAGACAGGGCATTCAGGATGATGGGACATTTTGCCTAAAGACAGCGGATACTACGACTCAGCAATCAAGAAACAGTTTAAAGCTTGACGCTACTGAGTAACAGACTATTGGAGTGTTGCAATAAAAACAACAACAACAATAACAAGGCGAATGAGCTCAAAAGACACGAGCTGTTAATGTATAGCCCTAGAGCACCACATTCCGTGTTTATTGTGTTGCCCTCTAGTAAGCACACAAGCACACACAGTAACAAGTTTTACATTTCTCCAACACCAATGAGTTTGTAAGCCTCCAAATGCCTCAGTATGTTCGGGTGTCGCGGGGTCCGAAATGGCCATTCGTCCCGAACTCCTCTAGAAATGCTCCCAAAGGACCGAGCGTCTCAAATAGCTTCTGCTGAGCAAGTCCTACCCACTGCTTTCTCGTGGCGGAGGTGTTAACACTAAAGTGGGAGGGTAAAGGCGAATGCCAGGAGCTTTCACCGGGTTGACTGACCACTGGTAGTCGGTCTAGGAGAGTTGGCTAAACCCTGATTCCAAACCACCCACACCTGGCGTAAAGCTCATAGTGGCACCAATCTTTGGCGCAACCGAATCGGTCTCCAAAGTTAATTTTCGGAGTTGACCACCGTGATGCTCACCGGCAAGTGTGCTGCACGCAACATTTCCACCCGTCCCCCACACAATACCCCCACGTTTTCCACTGTTTGTCCCACCTCGAACGTAGGTTCATGCTGTAGCTCGCCGCTATCCTCCTTGACAACTGTCTCGGAACCGACCGGTCCATTCCTCCGACCTTACTCTGCGTTCAAACTGGCTTCATTCAACGTAAGAACTCTAATGCGTATAGGACAAGCAGTTTTGGCTCGTACGCTCGAAAGTCTAGAGATTGATGTGTGCTGCCTCTCGGAAACACGCATCCAGGATCCGAGCTCAGTGATCCGATTAACGTCTCCTTCCAACCCAAAAGAAGCGTCCCCGGGGACCCTATCGCTTCAGTGTCTGGTCAAGCGGGCGTTGGTATTGCCTTAAACGCCTGGGTCGAGGCTGATCTATTGGATTGGATCCCGATAGATAGCTGACTATGCGCAGTGAGACTTGGAGACTCAAGTAAGGTCAAAAAGCGGAAACCAAATGAACGATGCTTATTCGTGGTTTCTGCATACGCTCCCACAGACCGTAGCCTGGATAAGGTCAAGGACGCTTTCTATCACAACCTACATGAACTTCTTCTCAAAGCACCTAAGACGGAGATCGTGATCCTGGCCGGAGACCTAAATGCACGCGTTGGCCGTCTGTCACCCGATGAGACCCACCTTGGTGGCCGTCATGGCCTTGATAGCTGTCGCTCAGATAATGGGGATAGACTTCATAGCATATGCTCAGAACCCGGTCTGTCCCTCGTTAACACGAACTTCGGACATGCTAAGCGTCATATCGCCACCTGGCGTAAGTCCTCTTCAGCACAGACGTGAAATTAGATTGACCGTATAGCTATTAGCTATAGATGGAACGGATGTGTGAAAGACTGCCGTTCGTATTGGTCTACCTGCTTGGACTGCGTTTTGGTGGAGATGGAAGCAGCGGCTAGGTGTGGAAACACCCGGCAACTCTACCAGCTCATCCGTGCTACAGGCCCAAAAGACAGTGCGTTAGTGAAACAATCTGCGATGTAGACGGTACGCTAATAAACAGCCTTCACCGGCGATTGGAACGCTGGGCGGAGCACTTCACATTGCAGTTCAAACAGCCCCCCGCGTTGGCTGCCCCAAGCAGCTCTCTTGAGAGTGCACCCTGGTCACTATCCACGGGACCGCCCACAGAAGCGGAGATCCGAAAGGAACTCCAAGCCCCGAAACGCCACGAGGCAGTTAGATCAGACGGCCACCTACCTTCTCTAAATATGGTGGAGATGCTCTCGTAAGCGAACTTGTGAGACTGTTCTCGAATATCTGGGAAACTGAAATTGTACCCCACACATGGGAAGAATCGATTGTCACACCGATCTACAAGAAGGGCTGTCGCAACGCCTGTTCCAACCACAATCCCAATAGCGCCGAAGCTGCTGGCGTCCGTTTTATTACGCAGGCTATGCCCATTCCGTGAGAATTAAATCCGCGAGGAGCAGGCCGGGTTTAATGCACGCCGTGGACGCATAGATCTACACCCTCCGTCAGCTACTAGAACACCGCCATGCATACAGATGACAAACCATAGTCGTGTTTTTAGACACCAAAGCGGCTTTCGGCTCTATCGATCGCCCCGCACTATGGAACTGTTTGCGGAGATACGGAGTACCCGAGAAGTATGTCTCACTCCTAAAAGCGCTCTATCACCACAATTTGTGGAAGATTGTGGCCTACGGTGAATTTTCACCCTCATTTCCTGTCATCAGTGGGGTGCGACAGGGTTCCCTATCTCTCCGTTTCTCTTCAACTTTGCCACAGATGATGTCCTACAAAACGTGTAACACAACGTGATGTACACTGGCGTCGAGCTTCTTCCTGGGGACAGAGCCGTAGACTTATGTAGNTTATACCAATAATATTGCCTTACTTGGTGACAACGCACCAACGATTCAAGAGTCGTTGAACCGTTTGGCAATTGAGGTTACTCGCTATGGTATGTCATTTGCACCTTCAAAGTGCAGTGTTGTTGCAAGATTGGCAGGAACCCATTCCTGCACTTTGGTTGGGAAGTAACATTCTGGAAGTAGTCGAAAGCTTTGTCTACCTTGGAAGTTGTATAACGGCTGACGGAGGTGTGGGTGAGGAGATCCCTCAACGCGTGATCAAAGCTAGATTAGCGTTTACTAATCCGCGGCATCTCTGGAGCCGGCGCGACATGTCCCTTTCACTGAAAAAGTGTGTATTGCGCAACGGTGTGCGCCGTATTGCTCAATGGTTGCGAGACCTGCCCTCTCCGAGTAGATCACGTCCAGTGACTATCAGTCTTCCGCAACCGTTGTCTGCGCAACATCGCCCGTGTATGGTGGGAGCATTGCGGGAATAACGATGAAGTCAGACGACGGGTGATAGTCTTCCTTTGGGCAAAATAATTTCACAGAATCGTCTTAGGTGGCTAGGGCACGTCCTACGAATGCCTGAGCGTCGTCTGCCACACCGTGCACTATTCGCCGATGTCGGTCCAGGCTGGAAGAAACAGCGAGGTGGCCAGGCTTTGAAGTGGCGCAGAGGGTTAAAGAGATTATGCTCCAATGGGGTTTCTCGGCTCCCTGGCTGGAACCCCAAAGATTCAGATTTTCTTTGGTTGGAGACTGCGGGATATGGCATCGAACCAACGTCAGTGACGTGAATGCATCCTCTCTTGTCTGCAATCTCAAAAATAAACGAAAACGAGACCTCAAAATGGCGTGCAGTAAACAAACAAACAAAAACTTTTTACTCCCCGAAGTTGACTGTTTTATTACCCCCGTATTTTTATTA